TATGCAATGTTCGTATATATACAGAATATACTGTATATATCTTAGGAAATGATGATGATTCATATTGCTTGGCCTATGCAATTAATGGGAATAGTAATACATGATAATATATAATTTTAATGACATTTTGGTGTGCTCATTTTGTTTAATCTCATGTTATTGAGTCTGGGTCCTGAATAAAAACTAAATGAAGACCACTGTATTCAATGAATCTTAGGGCAAAAGGGGGCAATTACATCTGTTAACCAACAGGTGGTGCAATGCATCTGTTCTTACCCTTTAAATCTAGTGACGCATCAGACTACAGGGATTCAACGATTGCTCATTCATCACAGCTTTTTAAAGGGTAACTGCATCAGTTATAACTTCAGTCGCTGTTGCTGTTGGTCTTAACTGATATAAATAATATTTACGACATGTAAACAACACTGAACAATGCCTGCAGCCTGCAGAGCCACAGAACAGAGTTTGGTGGTGTTCTAGAAATGCTCTGAGGGGACATTGATCTATTGGTTTGGGGATTGTTGTCTGCCCCGCATGCCCGGTTCACAATCACATCTCTTTCTGTGCCTGTTTATTTATTTCTCTGTCTAGTCTGCTTCTCTACCTTTCATCATCAAACCTCATTGCTTTTTTGCTGCTTTTTTCCTGACAATGTGCTCTGGTGGTCAGTGTGTTCTCTCTCGCTTCCTTCACTATAGGAGGAATCGGCACCCCCTGCGGGGAGCGGATAGACAGGCTCTGGGTCTCTGTATGAGGCAGCACAGACAGTGATTTGATGGATACCGCAGTACTTGTAATTTGGTCTATATAGAGGCAGTGAGCACTGCGGGCACATCAGCCCAGTATTCAACCTCTCCCCAAGGCACACGAAATCAGTGCTGTTATCCTAGCCTCACGTTTCACTCTTTACAACTCGCAATCAACAACATCATCAGGCTAAAACTTCCAATAGACTGCCAGTGACATGCTAGCCATGGAAAAGTTTAAAGTTAATATCATTTTTACTCATCGAAATTGTAACTTGAAACTAATGCAAGAAGAATTTTATTTATTTATTTTTAGCAAATAGGACCCTTGGAGATGTCAAAGATTATAAATCAGTGGTTCTCAACTGGTTTTGCTTCTGGAATCGGGAATACATGTTAAAATATTTATTTATTTATTGACCACTTCCGGACACATGCTTAGCATATGACAACATTTTTAATACATTTTAAGTATATATGGAACTATTTAGGTAAAAATGCTTGTAAACTGATTACTGACCACACATTTGTGTGCTGTATGATTATGCTAATTAAAATAGAATGTCATTCCTCCCACATCATCTGTAGTGAAAAAACAGTTGTTAAATGAGACAGTTTGGCTAACTATATACTTCATATAATTAATTCAGTATGGAAATCTTAAAATGCTTAAAATTAATATAATTTGTTTATTTTTTGTGCCAAAGTTTGGGGTATATGTTCAGCCTATTTATTCATTTAATTTTATGTATTTGTTCAAATTAATTCTAGTTATTTACTATGTATTATCAGATGGTTATTTGCTTTTACACTATCGTCGTCCACAGCCCTATTAGAACCTGCACCTGTAACCCATTTTTAGGTCAATAGAAACTATTGTTTTTTATAAATGGCTTCATTGCAGAAGATAATTAGAGGCTTAAATGCATAAATGGCTCCTTTTTTTTACCAGTTGTCTAATTTGATCTGCTGAAGAGGGCAGAAAGTGACTCTGAAAATGTGCTTTTGTCTCCAAAGTTGTTTGAGCAACAAGTACCTCATTTTTTTATTACCTGTCCAGCCCCTCTCTCTTTCTTTCTCTCTCATTTGCTTCATGCATGCTCTTTTTTTTTATTCTTCGTGCTGTATGTGCAGCTGAGCCGTGGCTCCTTTGAGCTTTGCACTACAGAGCGCTATCGATTATTTATCAGCATGCATAATTCACAGTACATCCCTGCTCTACACTGATAAGGCCTTACAATCTCTCCCTCGCTCTTTCCAAAAGCCCTTTCCAAAATCTCCTTCTCTGTCTCTTTTACTTACTCTTTCTTTTGCCCCTTTCTCCAAATCCTGGCCAATTCTCTTGCTTTCCATACTCTGTCAGGATCAATTTTTCTTTCTGTCCTCACCTGAATCACTCTTTTCAATCTCTCCCACCTTTCCATCCTCCTCTTCTTCAGTGTTCCATAATGTATCTTGCCTTTTATTAAAGTCTGTCTTCTGCTTTCACTGTCACTCCACACATCAAGCATTTCCTATTTCTTTGGCAACTCAGATTAATGAAATGTTGACTACCTTGTTGGTCTAGTAAGGATGTCTGCTCTTCTGCTTCCATACATCCCTACAGTCTAGAGGAAACATATAGGAGTAGGAGGAAGGAAGTCATTTAGGCTCATCTCGGTGGTTTTGTGTTTGGTTTAACAGTTGTTGCACTGCAGTGGATTGTCAAAGGTTATTCGCACCCTCACCCATAACATCTCATCAAGCCCCCAGTCCTATGTTCTGTTCCAAAACCTAGCTAGCTAGTAACCTAGTAAGCTGCCTTCATAGGCAGCATTTAAAGCATAATAGGATCTGATTTCCAATGCAAAGACTGTTTCATACAGTACATAATTATGGGTATGGATTTTAAAGACAGCCTTACCTTCCTTCGCAGTGGTAAACCCAGAATGCATTGCAAAAAAAGTAGCTTTTTTAACATTTAAATAATATTAAACTGGCCATTTCAGAGCAAAACTTGTATATTTATACTTATTAAATGTTGTTTTTCTCACATTTCTTGTATTGAAATCCATTGTGAAACAAGACATGTATATAGCCTACTTAAATTGTGTGTCCATAAAATTTATCAGAAATGTATTATATGACTAAATATTTAATTTGAATTTTAAATATATGGAAATTTTTGAAAAAACTTTCAAAACGTAAACTGACTATTAAACACAAATGTTTGTGCTATATATTTATGCTTAATAAAGTAGCATGTTATTCCTCTCACATTGTCTGTTTTGAAAAAAAAAGTGAATATATTGTACATCAGTTGCAATTAAAAATTATTAAAATGATCATGTAATCATATTTTAATCAGATTCTCGATGTCGTCTGTATAAAAATTGATTGTGAAGCAAAACAATTTGAGTATGTAGGTATTGAGTATAAAAGTACTCATTAATTGTGGAAATCTAATTATTTTTATAATTTAAGTGTTTATAGACTATGTGCACTATTATGTGCACTATATATATATATATATATATTTATGCTTCATAAAAAGTATGATGGCATTCCTCTCATGTAGCCTGAATTGAAATCTATTTTGAAGTAAAATAATTTGACTAACTATATACTTAAAATTCATTAAATATGAAAATGTATTATTAAATGTATTTTAAATGATTGCCTAAATTGAAAATAATTGTGTGCTTGTAACAAATTATCAGTCATGTTTCATTTAAATTCATTTTCATGGACTTTTAGTTTGTTTCTAGTCAGTTTCCTTTTTCCTTTGTTCTAGTTCCTACCCAGCTTTAGCTGTCTTGGTTTCTTAGTTGATGGTGTCATTCTGTTCAGATGTACTTTCGTTAATTAACTTTGTTTGCTCTGTGTACTTAAGTTCCTCTTGTTTCAGTTCAGTTTGTCAGGTCTCGTCAGTGTTTTGGTTGTGTTTAGTTTGCCTGCTTTGTTTGGATTCTATTCAGTGTGAATTATTAAAGATTTTTTAATCTTCATCTTCTTTTTCGTGTTCTTTGACCAACCAAGTTGTGACATTTTTGTATGGCCCAAATTCTGTATGTTCCAAAATAATCACTTATGAGGTCCAGTCTCAGTTAGAATGTTGACTTAGAAGGCAGCTGCCTGTGTAAGCAACTCACTACATTTTGGAAGTCGGAATCGGAATGGTTTCTAGAGTCATATACCAGTTCAAGGTCGTCCGTATGACTTCTATAAAAAGAATTTAAGAATACATCTAGGGAATACTTATTTTCAGTTACTCAACATAAAATGAAACGGAACTCATATCACTTTTATTGATAGTCAAAGAATCCTTCAGGGGCACAACCTCATTGAAATCCTCTCGGCAGGAACACAATCAATTGAACATGTTTCATGTTCAAATGGTGCATTCCACCTATTTTTGCTCTACTTATGCCTTGATCTTTTGCGCTTTGGTGCTCCGTCTTGGAAAAGTGACATTTCCTTCATGTTATACATGCTGTTTCATTTTCATTTCCTTCTCTGCCCTCAACCCTTGATCTGAGGCTTCATCCACTTTGGCGTTTGACGGTTGAGGCCCAGTCTGTTGGTGGCATTCCTGGTTGTATCCTTCATCTGGGCGGGGTTTCGCCTCTGTGTGCCCTTCTTTACTGTTTCTGGCTACTGAAGGACCCTTCGGCCCACCTCCCTTCATCTTCCCTCATCCCCATTGGTGGTTTTGTTGGTGTTTACAGTGCATGGGCTGTGGGAGGAGTGGTCTTCATGGAGCCTGTGCTCAGTCACGTGTGGCCGTGGCACTCGGACCCGGAGTAGGATCTGTGTGCTCCCCCAGCATGGAAGCAAGGGCTGTGGAGGGCCCGAGGTGCAAACCAAACTCTGCAATATAGCTGTGTGCCCCGGTTAGTACTAATCTCCATTTCCGCATCTGCCAGCATTCTCTCTCTTTTCTCTTACTCAAGCCCACAGTATCTTCTGCCTTTATGCTTTTATCACAGTGGGTCTCATTCACTAATAATTGCATAGGTGCTTTTACTTATGTGTGCATGCAAAATCAAGATGGAACTATAATGCACATTGTTTTTTTGTTTTTTTTGTTATTATAATTTTAGCAGTTATTCAGTGTATCATATCATATCATATATCATATATCATATCATATCATATCATGTATCATATCATATCATATCATATATCATATCATATAATAATTGAATATAATTACTAATTAGATACATTACAAAGAGGTTTAGAGCAAATCTTAGAGCAAACTAGAATGAACAAGAATAAATAAATAAATACTCAAACGTTAAAATATATTTATTTATTTTTATTTTACAATTGTTCATATATTTATACATCTGCACAGTTGATGAATGAGACCCAGTGTGTTCTGTCTTCTGGACTCTTCTAACTTCCCTATTCTTTGCCCTTTATCCATGTTGTATGTCGTTTCCTGCCTTGTCTCTCTCTTCACATGTCTTCCTCTGTCTGACCTTTCCCTTTCCTTCCTGTGTACCATCCTCACTGCCTCCAGCTTCACCTCAGTCTGCTTGTTTCACGTCAGTCTCTCCTGTTCAGTCTGAAGGCTGCGCTTGAGCTCTGTGTTGTCTGCGCTCTCTTTCTGCAGCCATGCCTCGTAGTTTCCTCTGGATTTCATTCATTCATTATGCAGGTCTCAAGATTTTTTTTTTAGCTGAAGTGCTACTCAAATGGGGCTTGGCTCGAGTTAAGCTAATCAGAATCGCAGATGAACCAATCACACGTATCCACACCTGCTATAGGGTTTGTTGTTTCTTCTACAGCGCTGCTCTGGCCTCTGCCAATAGAATCTGTCTCCGAAATTAGTTATTACCCCACTGAGATGAGCAATAAATCATTTGTCTGTTACATTTCAATTCGTTTTCAGTTTGAACAGGTGGCTTTACCTGGAGTTGAAAACCTCCATTAGGCTGACAGTTGAAGGGTTAAGGGTGACAGCCAATCACTGTGATTGTCTTTTATTTGAGGAGGCACAAATTAACAGCTGGGCCAGTCCGGCCGAGCAACTGTTGACTGACAGTGATTACAACCTGTCAGAGAGCAGATCTTCCACCTGTCCTCACCTACCGAGAGGCGGCCATGTGTAAAAACATCTCACCCTCCTCGTATTCAAATTGCATTCATGAGTGGCTACTGACGTGTAATCTGCTGATATAATTTAACACAGGATAAGGCACAGGACTCAACGTAATGGTTCACAGTAAAGGATGGTTGGCTGTGTGAATCTAAATGGAGATGTTGTAAACATTGGCGTGTTTACTCCCACATTACTTCAGCTCTATTTGAGAATATGATTACAGTGATGGTTTGCACTGCCGTAATCAAAGTGTGAGCAATTTCAGTTCCAGCATAGTCATTGGATCATTACTGTAAGTTACTCCCTATTTTTTATTTTATTTTTTTTACTTATTTTCTTGTTTGGTAAGAAATGGTACTGTACAATAGATGTTACAGTAGTTTTGTAAGTGGATAGTAGTCTTATTTTGAAGTAGCATATGGTGATTGTCCTCATAATAAATTGTTTCATTAAAGAATAAAGTGAATATTTGCTTATAGAAAGTTTATCAAAGTGCACTCTATTTGCTTGTTAGAGGAATGAGGTTTAAGACTTATTTGTATGACAGTTTGTCCTGAAAAAAAAAACAAAATTTTTTAAATCTTAATTACACCAAACTTTTAAATCGTAGTGGGTAAAGATTTCTACAAAAGCAGAAAAAAACTATTTTCAATAATGATAATCTTGAATAAATGTTTTTTGAGAAAAGTTTCCTGAAATGTATAAAAGATGTGCTTATTTATTTATTTAAAAAAGAGGTAAAATGAAACTAGAAACAAGTCAAGTAAATGTATTGCAAAATGAGAAATGGGGTGCTTAGGTTTACCATTCTTCCAAATACTGTTTGTTTTTCATGTCGTCACCTCAAAAAATAGATGGAAAATGTTTAAAACATTTTCTGTTCCTTAAAAAAAAGATTTTTGCTTTAATGGACAAATACACTAGCATCTGCAGCTTGTCTAAAATGTATCAAACTCAGGTTAAAATGCATCTTGCTGAACATGTCAGAATTAGCTAATAAAACATAGCTGAAACTTCCATTTGATTTACTGCAGCTATATGAGCTCATCAGTTTATGTAATTCAGCAAAAATAAATTTAAAGGGGTCATATGATGCAATTTCAATTTTTCCTTTCTCTTTGGACTATTACAAGCTCTTTGTCGGGACAAGGCATCATAATATGGCAAGGGGCGTAACATTTCCGTCACACACTTGAGGTATTCGGCCAATCACAACGCACTGGATAGCTGGCCAATCAGAGCACACCTCGCTTTTCAGACCGATGAGCTTTGTAAAAATCGACGTGTTTCAGAAAGGCGGGGCATAGAGGAGAAACAATAATGTACAGTATGTGGAAAATAATGTGTTTTTTGAACCTTAAACCGCATAAACACATTTCATTACACCAAATACACAATATAATGTTCTTTTTAGCAGCATCATATGACCCCTTTAAGAGAAATCAAGGCCCAGAATTCTTAGCTACAGTCTTGAACACTCAGATGCATCTGTTTGTTTGTGTGTATGTATGTATTGCAAGTGAGGGATACTCAAAGTATCCATTTGATGTGCTGAAGTCAGTGTTATTTCCTTAATTATACAGTTGGTTTCTCTCTCCCTCTCCGTTTATGTTATTTTGAAGTAAAGTGAGATGCCATAAATGCTCAGCTGTGTTTGTCGGGTTTCAGCTGCAGCTGCTGTCTCTCCTGACAACCACAATATGCTGGCTCTCTGTCCTCATTGGCTGCTGATTTCATGAGCGATGATGAGTCCAAAACTCTCATGGAGGCGCAGACAGACAGGCCACATTTATCCATGTTTATTGAGTTTGCGAGGCTTTAGAATAAGGTTATTATTTATCATGTTCTTGCTTTGAGACACAGATCCTCCATGATCTCAGACAGAGAATGCAGCTGCATCTGGTTTTGTTATACATCATTCTGCCAACATTTAAAGAGTTTTTTTTTTATTATTTTGTTTTTTTTTTATATGCTTTTCAATTGTTTTCTTTTACATTTTTTTTATTTATTGTATTATTTGCTTTAATTTTTTTTTTTTTTACAAATATTTACACAGAACATTTTATATATTTACATTAACATGCATTTATGTGGTTGTGTATTTACATTATGTGTCTGTAGTATAT